CCCCCCCTTGTGGCGGCAGTGTGTGTGGCAGGCAGGGGCGCATTACGCCACAATGCACCTCGCACTGCGTGCACCAAGAGAGATGGCGCGGCCAGGGCAGCACAGGTCACGGGGCGGCCTCCGCGGCCCAGTGTGGCCAGGCCCGGGCCCCACGCAGCCAGCCACCAGCCACCCGCAGCCACCTGCCCCACACTCACAAGGCCTTGCACTCGCCGGCCTTGGCCCAGGCGGAGCAGTGCAGGTTGGCGTCGGCGCACTCCGCCTCGCACACGCTGCACGTCTCGCGGCAGTTGCGGGCCATCCACTTGTCGCTGCAGGGGAGGGAGAGGCAGGGGTGTGGGGGCGCGCGCGGGGTGTGGAGGCATGGGGCAGGAGCGGGAGGAGGGCGGAGGGAGTGCCAGGAGTGCAGGGAGAGGTGATGCAGCGCCGCTTCCGCATGCTGCCGCTCCCGCATGAGCGGGCGTGGGCCCTCATGTGGTCACTGCCAGCACACGCAAGGGCAGCACAGCAGGGGAAGCGTGGCCCCACTCACTAGGTGTCAAGGCAGTAGCCCTTCTCGGCAAACCAGCCGCAGTCTTCATCCTGGTCCCAGCACTGCATGGTACGGGCATGCGCAGGAGCAGTGTGGCACAACACGAGCCTGCCAGCGCTGCCTGGCAAGCACCTCGCACTTGCTGTGAGCACGGCAGGCGCCCAGGCAAGGCCCCCCGCATGCGCGCCGCCCTCACCTGCCCGGCCGTGTCGTCGATCACCACCTGGTCGCACAGCTGGCAGGCGGCGGGGCAGTAGGCTGCCATGTAGGCGGCGCTGCAGCAGCAGGGAGGAACATCGTTGAGAGAGGTGGGGTGGGAGGCGGCATCGAGGGTAGGCGGGCGGAGAGAGCGCTGGGGAAGCCGAGGGTGGGTGCTGAACCCCGAGGGGCCCGTCATCAGGGATGCAGTGGCGGCGCCTGCCCGCATCTGCAGCTGGCAGCACCAGCTGCGCGGCGGTGCTCCCCAGCTGGGCTGCCCCCCCCCCAGGGCCCAGCCCACCTCTTCTTGCACTCTCCAGTCTTGGCCCAGAAGCGGCAAGAGTCGG